CCCTCAACCGTAAACCCTAAACCCCCGCTTTTGCTTTGCTGTTTGCCGGTGGTTTCGGACGACTCTCCGTGCCCTCCATGAGCGACTCCCCGAGCGATGCGAGTTCCGACTCTTCGCGTCACATGGAGCTCGCGGTGTTTATCTTTTGGTTGAGTGTTGTTGTTCTCATTCTTCTGTTTTTATCTTTTAGTTTCTGGCTATTCTTCTGTGTTGATGTTTTTCTTTGGTGTGTTGTTTATTCTTTTAGTTTCGTGTTCCTCTTCGGTATTTTGTTCTTGTTCGTTTTGTTGTGTTGTTTGTTCTTGTGGTTGTTGTTCTAGGGTTCTAGGGTTGTGAGGCCTATAGGGTGTTTAGGGCCAAGTTTAGGGTTTGGGACTTGAGGACAAGGGTAGGAGTCTTATGGGGTTTCTGGGGGCGGTGTGGCCGGGTTTTTGAGGGTTTGTGTGTAGCGAAGAGCCCCCAGACCAATCCTGCACCCGAAAGTCGGAATGCCCCAAACCGGGTTTAGGGTTTCGGGGTTAGGGTTAGGATTTAGGGTTTCGGGTTTTGTCCGTAGAACGCGTTCTCGATTCTTAACCCTAAACCCTAAACCCTTATTGTAGCATGAATCCAAATGGCTAGGGCTCTAGGGTTGAAACCTCTGACGGTGGGTCCCAAAGGAGTTTTAAGATACCCGAAACCCCAAACTCTAAACCCAAAACCCTAAACCTTAAACCCTAAACCCTAAACCCTAAACCCTCAACCCTGAACCCCAAACCCTAAACCCTCAATCCCACTTCCTAATCAGGGCCCGCAGCCGATCCTTCGCATGAGCCCAGGATTCGAGCGAGAGCTCCAGGTCCTCGACATCCAAGGCTGACTGCAGGCGCCCATTCTCGGGTTCTGTTGGTGCTCATTATTCTTAGTATTATCATTACTAATTTTGTTAAGTCTACTTCGCTGTTTAAACGGGTTTCCGGGATTTTGTGCAGGGTTTTTGCAAGTTTTTTTTGTTTTAAAATAGGCTTTAAAGCAGCTTGTAGGTTTTATAGGGCTTTATTCTAGAAGGAGCATTCTTGATGAGCCTCTCAACGCCTATTAAGACGTGCAGGCTGTAGGCTGTTTGTTTTTTCAATGGATGCGATTTCTGTTGGGCGACCACTTCCTGGCTAAGCTTCCATGCAGTTGAGTTGAAGCGGTACAGCTTATTCCAGTATTGGGCCCTTGAATGGTTACAGCTCACATTGATATCTGGTCCTTGACGATCATGCCTTCATCAGGACGGGAACAGCTCCAAGAATCCCATCCATGAACCAAGCCTTAAGCAGCTGAACCCCGCAACTATAACCCTAAGCCCAAAACCCAAAGTCCCACACCTACACCTGCTTGGTCTATCCTCTCTTGTATTGTACCGGCCGCAACCGAGTGTCGGCGGTCTTCGGGATTTGTGCTAGGACATGAGTGGATGCAAATGCTCATGAGCCTCATGTCCTCTCGGCTAATATATATATATACACACATACATGTGTGTGTGTATACATACCTATATATATATATACATACAGAAATTGATTAACTGTAAGTGTATGTGTGTGTATGCGCACACACGCGCATGTTTGTGTGTATGTATAAACATATGCAGCATATGTATCTGTGTATACATGTATGTATGACACTCATATATACACACGTATACCAATGTGCACATACATATATACATACATGTCTGTAAACATAGATGGTACAGACGCATATACACCACGCATGTGCTTATATATGCACAAGCATAGGCACATACATTTGGGATCCCTCCAGATACAACCCAACACCAGATATGGTTTCCCGCCCCAGCTGCCCTCACTCTCGAAAAGGTTTGGGATATATGGATGTATGTGACATAGACATGTACATATACAGAAATATGTACATATATATATATATGTATATGGATATATAACTAAAGAATATACATACTTACATACATATGGCTACCTCATGCACCTATGGAGACTCTCGTCACAGATCCCATGTCGCCACATCTATGTCTGCGTGTATATACAATTATATGTACACCCACACCCACGCACACACACACACAAATATGTATATATATATATACCACACACACATATATATGTATAATATGAAGGTGTCCATTTATACTGCACATGTGTAGCCAAGGATATTTGCGGAACTAAGTTTCGAGTCAGTGCAGTAATTTCCGTAGACCTTTACACAAACATGTTTTTGTGTTCGACATGTGCATGTGCATGTACACGGTGTGCTCATGTCTAGCACAGGAAGGGAGAAGCAAGTCCTGTGCGACTTTCACCAAGCAGTCCCTTGCACCTCTTTGCCATTGAGTATATAAGTAATGGACTAGCTGCAGAACCACGGTTGAAGGTTTCGGGGCTTGGAGCTTCTTGTCTGGCTTGTCCATCGGGGCAACGTGAGCATTGCGACTTCAGGCTGTTCTGGCTTGGTCTCAATGTCACCTCGTGCGTGGTGGTTGCTTGAATGCATGCAGTTGCTCGCCACCTGCCGCGAAGGGTTTCGTTCCAGGAAGCCATAATCATCGTTTGCACAGCCAGAGGCACGAAGCAGGGGTACAGATGCAATCACCAACCATACCAAATGTGCGGTCCGCGCACAGTACCGTCACCAGCGCTATTCCCCCCTCTCCATCGCCATCGCCGTCGCTATCGCCACCGCCATCGTGATCGTCATCATCATCCTCACCCTCATGATCGCCATCACCAGCACCACCACCACCATCCTCCTCCGCATCCTCCTCCTCATCCTCATCCTCCTCCTCCTCCTCCGCCTCCGCCTCCTCCTCCTCCTCATCATCACCATCATCACCATCATCATCACCATCATCGTCATCATCATCATCTCTCTCTCTCTCGGATCGCAGCGTCTCAGTAACGCCTTGCGAGGCTGATCAGGACAGGCAATCCTTGATGCCCGGCGCTATGCGCGCTGTGCAATTGCACATCCGGAAGCTAAAAGTGGGATGAGCGCTCCGCAGAGCTGCCTCATCATCGGCTCGAAAGCCCAGGCTAGAAAACTCGTACTGAAATATGTAGATAAGCAGCTGCAGGTACTGTACACTCTCGGTCACGACATGCGAAATTGTCTCAGTCCATGAGCTGCAAGAAATCCGGCAGACTGAAAGGCTGGGCAGTGTTGTTGTCGTTGGCAGTGTCTCCGGTCATGGCAGTGTCGCTGCTGTGAGCTGTGACTGTGTCGTCGAGGGAGTTGAGAGGGTGCGGGTGGTCGTCATCTTCCCTGAGGTCGATGATGATGTTGGGGTTGCCTCCCTGTTGGCCGGTTCCGTAGCCAGTCAAGCCCAAGGTTGCCGAGGAAGCTGCGGATGTAGCACCTGTGTCCAGGCCGACCTGCATAGGGGCCGTCGTAGTAGGCCGAGTCTGAGACTGCATCAAAGGAGCCGAAGGCGTAATCGATGTCTGCCCATGGCGAGCTGCATGCAGCCGTTGGCATCGGCGTGTGTGCAGGCCTCCGCCCGAGCCCGCACACCTGGAGCAGCAGTGGTAGTAGCCAGGGTTGGCCCTGCGTCGGCAGTTGTGGATGCCGCAGAGCGATCTGGTGGCCCCAACTGGAGGCGCAGGCTGCAGTCCCTGTTGAGCACGTTGACACCTGTTAGAATGTCCATCCCCTGTAAGGCGGCAGCGACGACAGCAGTGTTTATGTCCATTATCTGGAAACCTTAGCGGGCAGGAGGGTGTACGGCATTGTCTCAGACGCTGCGCGACCGCCAAAGGCGGAGGTGGAGCTGCATCACCCCAAACATTCGCCGGCTGCTGCGTTGCGTGGGCCATGGGCGCTAGCTGACCTTAGGCTCGCACGTAACAAAGGCTGGCGTGCACGACATGCATAGCCTAGGCAGGGCACGCAAGGCGATGACTTCTTTTGCCTGGCATGGCTCTGGCTGCTGGTGAGCTGATCCCCGCGCTTCCAGCGCCACTGAGAAATCGGGCTGCAGGGGCTGTATACAGTCAGCAGGATCGGTGGGCCTAAGGGGGGCAAAAACCTACCTCCTTAAGAAAGCTAGAGGCTGCAGGAAGGAGCTTGTCAGAGTGGCGGACGGTGAACGTTATCAGCGTCACTCTATTGCCTGCCGTCCATTCACTGGTGGCGTGCGGTGTGCACCAGCCATTGAAAAAGACTCCGCAGGCACTGGTTTTGTAGAGCCGTCCTGCTGTAAAGACTCCATCCACCTCATGGTAGTGCCTGCCGCACCGATCGGCAAGCCATAATTCTCCACCGTCATAATGCGACAGCCCTAAGAGTAGGCTCGGTGCCGGACCGTTATTAGGGTCAGTGTGCGGCGAGGTATGGTTATCAATATTTATCACAAGCATGGTCCAATTGTAACCATGGTGTCGCTCTGCTACCATGCGCACTGCTGCATTAAGAAGTGTACATGTTGCTTGGTGATCTTTGGTGGCCTTGCTCAGGCCAATGATTCCACCCTTACAGTAGGCCCCCAGCACGCAAGTTTGCCCTGTAGCAAAGGGGCGCTTGTCTGGGGAGAACTGCATCATGGCCACTGTCTCGCGTACAGCTGTCCACAGGGATCCTGAGCCCTCGGACAGATAGTTCATGGCTCGGCGCTCAGCGATGCTGGGATCCGCTGGGCATTGCTTCGGCATAGGTGGGAAGGGCACATCAATGCTGCCTTGGATCTCCGATGCCAGGCTATCTGCATACCGGAGAAATGATCTCGGGCGTCGCCGTGCAGCACTTGCATGGCAGTGCGCACCAGATCATTCCGGCTGGCCATTGTGAGGGCCGGTGGGAGGTCCCGTATCTTAGCAGGATCCAAGAGCCCATGCAGTGTGGTCAGGAGGAGGCATTCCTCCAAGGCCGCCAGATACATATGCTGAGGCAGCTCTACACTGGACATGTTGGGGCATGGTGCGACAAGAAGGCTGGGCCCAGATGCTGCCAGGGCGGATGTGCTTTGGCAGGCAGTGCGGCGACTGTCTGACAGCAGCATTGTTAAGACTCCGGCCGATTTCTGAAGGCAGCGGGTACGGTAGCCCAAGGTACTTGAGCTGCGTGGGCTACTGGGCTAGGGCAGTGGGTGAGTGAGGGTTTTAGGGTTGAGGTGGGTCGTGTTGCGATGCAAGCTGCAAAACATTAACATGGGAGTACACTCAGCGGCAGACGAGAAACACGTTTGTGACGGACGTCTGCAGGCTTCGCGGCATCCCGTCATGCATCCAAAATTAGCATCAGGTGCCCCGCGGCGAACCGCTGCGGGTACCTGGGCGACTTATGCGTCATTCGTGTCGCAAGAGCCCAAGCAGGTAACAGTTTTGGGCGAGCCATTGCTGTTCATGTTCTTTCATGGGCCTCGATGCGACACGATCGTCACTTAAGTAAAAGCGCGAGCCGCAGCTCAAAGCGGCTTGATAGTGACCTGCATGCGGCGTGTCTCCGGTGTGCACAATCGCAAACAACAGTCTGTAGCTCACTGTTCGAACAGTATCACTCTCGCCTGTGCAAAAGATGGGCACCTTGACGACAGCATGGGGCCTCAGGTCGACGGGATCGTTGCGCTTGCGAGCGCGCCCGTCTCGAAACTCATAGCGCTTGAGCTGAACTATGAAAAACGGTGTCTCAGCAACCAACGCGTGGGGATAATGCTGGTTCCCCCATCCTGTGAGTAGGGCTTGTAGGTCAGCAGTAGGGGCATTAAGGTCTATGGGAATAGGGGTCCATAGCATGGCATGGTCACGAATGCGGATCGCACCTCGTGATCCCTCTCTGGACTCCCAAGTGCCTGCCATGCCCGTGGGTTCAGCCATAGACATTAAAAAGCTCCAAAACTCAGCTACATCATGTTGTTGCCTGAGGTTGGGCCATGCACGAAGGTGAGGCATCCATTGCATTAAGCCTGGCACGTAGGTAGGCTTCCGCGGCGTGCCCGCGCAACAGCTGCGGGGGGCGGGGCCTAATATCCCAAAGAAGGCCGCACTGTCGCCCGTGTGTTGCCCTAACCAGAGCAGGGCGGTAACGCAGGAGTTGAGATAGCACACGTTGTGTGGATTATGCAAGTACACGGCATCTGGCCTCGGCAAGGCTCGGGCCCGGGAGGCAACAGCCTCCTGTGAACCTAAAGTTCCGGCTCCTTCTCCTTCTCCTCCGCTGGCTTGGTTCCGACGGCTGTGAGGCCTCCTGCTGCTGCTGGCCCCGGTACGGATTGGTGGCGTCCATGAGGCTTTCGGCGCATTGGCCCAGCTTGACCGCCAGGGGCTGACGCTTCATGCGATCCGGCCTCATCCTGACCCCGATGAGGGAAAGGCAGGCGTTGTTGCACAGAGTACTGAACAGGCCGTGCAACTCGTCCGCTAGGGCGCCGCGGTTTGACACCATGAGGACAAAGGGGAGCACTTCCGAGCGGTAGGTGGGAGCCATGGGTCGCGTCGCATGAAATTTCATCAGGAGGCCTTCCATCGAAATCAGTTCGAAGATGCGCTGGATGGTGGCCTCTGCTTGTGCATGTGGTAGGGGAGGCTTGATCGCATCCACCTCCTGCTCCTCCTTTTCCTGGTTGTACGTCATGTACGCCCAGGCAGGCGGGTTGGCCTTGGTCAGCCAACTGTGCTTCTCCAAGGAGGGCCTGACCTCCTCGTGGAGGGCTGTTTGCATCTTCTCCTTCATTGCCGTGAGCATCCCGATGATCAAGGTGACGCGGAGGGACTGGTTGATCTTGCCCTCGTCCTTGAGTCTGCGCCATTCCTGGGCAATGTTGTAGAGCGCGCGGGTGATCGTCATGCCGCGGGTGTTGAAGTAGAGCATGAAAGAAGTGTCGGAGCGTAGGGCCGCCTCCGTGTCCTCGTGCTTGAGGGCTAGCCTCGCCAGTAAGCCCACCACCTCCCTCAGCTCGTCCCCGCTGATCTTCTGGCTTAAGGTCTGCTCCTCCCCTTGCCAGTCCCGCTGCCATCGCTCCTGTCCCCAGCTTTGGCTCCAGTTTTGGCCCTTTCCCCTGGAGCCTTTGTTGGACGGCTTGTGCCACTTGCTGGCCTGCCCCTCTTCCCGAGGGGGGCGAGCGCTTCGTTGCCGTTGCATCCTCCTGGGTCGCCATCGCACGGATGTCCGAAGCACTGGTTGACCTCTTCCTCGGCGCTGAGCGGCATCTTGAAGGGGGGCCTCAGGGAACCATATTTGGTGCATGAGACAAGCCTGAAAGTACCCTGAGCAGAGTGGCTGATGTTGCGCTGAGCTCCCTGGCTGAAAGGAGCAAACGCGGCACGGGCCTTTGTAGCGAAGCCGGTAGTGGGCCTTGAGCCTACGGATTACGGCATCACGATGTGACCAATGGCTGGGGTGCATGCGGCGGATATGATTCTTGAGCCCTCCTTTGTCTTTGCTACACCATTGCGCGCAGGAAACACAGTACTCGCTCAGCTCTTGGCCATGGTTTTCGGCAAAAGAGACCCAGTCGGCTTCCAGAGCTGATCTCGTGTCAGGCTGGTCAAAAAGGGGCAGCGGTGCTGGTGCTGCCTCGGCAGTAGCCTCCCCTGCAGCGCACTGCGGAACAGGGACACTGGCCGAGGGGGTCGCCTGCGAGTTCGAGGTTCCGGAGACTTCAGCTGTCATGGCAGGGCACTGTCTGAGTATGTGATTCTGAAATCCTCGCCACTTACGGAATGCTTGGTTACAGTATCTACATACGGGCATGCCATTTTTGCTGTGCGGCATGAAGTCTTCCTGTCTCCTACCGGCAGGCCTGTCGAGGGCAGTGGGAACCAAGCTGCGCTTATGCGATTTAGCACAATGTATGCGCATGGTGCGTTGGTCATCGAAATAAACTCCACACTCGGGGCATGGATAGCCACTGCCCTCGCACGGCACCAGGGTTGTGTACTGAAGGAGAGCTTTGGCTTCTCGGAAATCACTCCTTACCTGCGTTTGCCAGGTTAGCTCTTGCGGCTTTCCAGGAAATACGTGATTCCCGCCCTCCAGCTCTTTCAGCCTGTTTTGGATTAGGGCTAGCAGGGCGTCCTCCACAGGTCTGATACCCAGGCGGTTGTACAGGTCTTTGTTGGTTTCATGGGTAAGGTGTCGGGGGGATCGGGCAATAGCTCTTAGGGTTTTGATCTCAAAGGCGTGCAGAGCTCGGAGGCTCTTGGGTGTCACTCCGACTGCTGGCAATCCGTATGTGGCAGCGCTGCGGATGCAGGTGCGGTACATGCTCAGCTTGTGGGTTTGCGTAAGGCCTTTTCTACCGTATAAGAACTTCGCCAGGAGGGCTTGATTTGCGCGTGCCGCACGCAGCCGCTTGTCCATGCTTTGTTGCTCAAAGGCACCGTAACTTACAACCACCCCTAAATAGTCAATAGAGGAGGAGTAAGCGAGCTTGAGGGGCTCAAAAGGTGTTCCCATATCATAGAAAAGGGCGCCACGCTGACGAAAGCTGCGCTTTGCTAGCCATCTGTGCAGCGGGCCACCGACGGCTTTGACAAGAAAATGGGATTTCTCTGCATTCGCCTGCATTCCGGCCTCCCGTAGTACAAGGAAGAGCTGCTGGATGCGCTGGGACATGAGTTGAGCGTCCTCAACTTTGTGCAGGGTGAAGGAGCAGATGAAATCGTCTGCAAAAGCCGTCACTTCGTCACGAACCCACTCCGGGCTGGTGCGCTGGGAGAGGCAATGAAGCATGTACGTCGTGACGCAAACCCACAGCAGCGGTGACAGAACACACCCTTGCCTAATTCCATTCCGTAGAGCTATGCTACCCTCGTGCTGGTGGTGCGTGATGTGATAGGATGCCTGGTGAAGGGCAAGGGTGAGTTGTATGGTATCCTCGTCAATCTCAAGGTGTCGCATGGCTGCAGCTAGGTATGAATGACTGACCTGGTCAAAAGCTTTGCTCATGTCGATACTTAGGAGTGCAGCACCTCTAGCCTGGATGCAGGCCTTGCCCGCCCTGCGATCATGCACCTACGGAGGCCGGAAAGCTGCTGGCGAGCTTCCCGGCAATGCCGTGCGATTCGGCTGATGGCATTGGTGGTGCTGCGTCCGGGCAGGTATGCGTACTGGGGCACTTGGTCCAAGCGGGGGAGGATGTGCTTGAGGATTCGGGTCTTAATAATACGGGCGGCATTTGCCAAGGGGGCATTGTAGGGCAATTGGCCTCAAATTAGCCGGGGCTTTGGTAGGCTTATGAGGCTTGAGGAGGAGGTGGAGCCATCCGTCTCTCCAGTCAGTGGGCAGGTCAATAGCACCAGCGGACAGGTGCTGTTGGAACAGCCTACTGACGTGCGGCAGCAATAGATGCGCGCAGCGCTTCCAGACATCAGGGGGCACCTTTCCCTGGGGAACAGCCTTGCCGGCCCTCTGCTGCTTGAGGCTGGTCAGGATCTCTGTATCGGTGATGTTGTAGTCATGTTGAAGGACATAAGTGGTACTGCAAGTGTCGGGGCCTTGTTGGTAAAGGTGTGTAAAGTACTCGTAGATTTGTTGGAATTCTTGGGCAGGGTCGAGGATGGTATTATCGGGTCCCCTGATCTGGATGCGTTCCCTTGGGGCCTTAGGCGCAAGACGTCGGACGTGGCGGTATAATGCGTGCATGTCTCCCGTGCTAGCAGCCTGTTCGGCCTCTTGCAAAATGTCCTGGACAAGAGCCCTGCGCCGCTCACGTCCACGCTGCCTAAGAGCCTTCTGGCATCGCTGAAAGGCTGCATGCCTGCGGAAAGCCTCAAAGGCATAGGCTATCAGACCCGTGTCCCTGTTCCTAAGTCGAAGGGCTCTATGATACTGATGAAAGGTACGTAAGTCCTTATACCTAGACCAGAGCTGCCTTACCTCGAGTTGGGCATTAGGGTGCTGCCAAGCTCTAGGGGCTGGGGTCTGGGCTCGCTTAAGGAACACCTTCTGACAGCTTTCATGGACTACCCGCGTCAGCTCAGCAGCTGTGCTGACGGTGGCCTGCGCAAGACGCGTTTGGAGGTGAAGGTCCAGCTCACGCGCCTGTGCACTGTCCTGCCGAAGGGCCTCCCGATCCGTACTTCTGCAGAGGCCCGTCGGCGGGGTCTTGGTGACCTTAGCATAGAAGGCGGGGATGCGGATGCTGGCCACTAAGGCTTTATGCTTGCCACCTTCACGCCACGGCGAAAAATCGCAGTGGGGCAGGAGCTGGCTGCGTCGCGCCTGTTGGTCGACGTGTGCTAGGTCAAGCATGATAAAGTCTATCTGGCTCGAGTGTGCCTTGTCTGGGTCTACATAGGTGGCTGACCTACGTTTGGATGACCGTGTATTCAGCGCACACATGCGGCCAGCTATCAATGCCTGCTGTGCATCATTGACACCCGGCTGGGCAGCACGGGCGGCTCCTCGGTATGTGCCAGGCCCCACATGTTGCCCATCGGTGCTAAGGGTGCAGTTCAGGTCTCCTGCCACACACTTGGCGTTGCGAGCAGGAAGGGTGGTGCGCAGCCTGTTTAAGCGCTGCCATACCTCTTGACGTTTGGCTGAGCGTTGTTTCGAGGCATCGGTGTCCCATGCCCACTGATAAATGTTAATCAAATCAAGGTGTAGATTCTGTTTGTGACATCCTACTGGTATACGAGCATGCAATAAACGACCCGGAATCAATTCCTGAAATCTGACATCCAAGTGGCTTGCCAAACGTTCTGAGATGTACAGTGCGACTCCTGCCCATCTGTGCGAGGGGCCCGGGCTGGAGATCACTGTCCATCCAGGAACCTTGTACTCCGTGAAAGCGTGGCCCAGTCCGTGGTGTGTCTTCTGGAGGAAGACGACGTCGTAGGGGTTGCGAGCGCTCGTAAGCCAGTTCATGAAGACGTCATGGGTCGATGTGCACAGCCCGCCCACGTTCTTGCTGAGGATGCGGATGCGGAGGCTTGTTGATGGTGGTAGTTGTGGCGGGCGTGGTAGCGTGACCACGGCCGACTCCTGTGTGCCACCAAGCTGCTCCAGGGTGAGTCGACGGCCCCTGTACATGGTGGTGCCATCCGCAGAATTCCTGGCTCTCCGCACCGCGCGCTGAT